GGCTGGGGGTACCGATTCTGGAACAGGCAACATAAAGTTTTTGCTTTAATCAAAGCACGTCCAAAATGAACTGACCGTATGAATGACATCACAACATGCTTGTACTGTCAACACTGAAAAAAGTTTCAATTCGACAACATAATCCCCATCTAAAAAAAGTTTGAATTTGGCACAAAAATCTTCATTAATAATATGATCCGCAATTTATTAAATTCATTTGTAATAAAATATGTGATAAATGAAGAACCGCTTGACCGATTTTGTGCAAACTTCACATAAATCATCTACTAAATAGACCGCACAAAGCCTAAATATTTGGTTTGGATAGGTGAGTCCGTTCTTGAGTTATAAAAATACATCGAAAAGTGGCATTAATTTATATATATATATATATATATATATATATATATATATATATATATATATATATATATATATATATATATATATAAATAATTTAATTTTATTTAATAAAAATTTAAGCAGTTTATAGATAGCTGAATCCGAAAGTAACAAACTTAAAAAATACTAACAGATGAGATCTTCCTTTTTTATTGAAGTCAGTTAAATTTTTTGTGTTTATGGAAAGGTTACCAATTAACAAAATACGTGTATTAGATATATTTGATACAATATATGACGATAACGCAGCCAGCTTGACGGACGTCCGGACCGGAATGTATTCGATGTTCAGTTATAAACTGCATGTTTACTGATGCTGCTCGTATGAAGGAAATATAAATATTTACTGGAAATATTGTTGCTTATATTAATAAAGAGTTTTAAGATCTTATTTGTGACAAAACGTATATAAAATCAAGACGGTAGTAAATATCATCGCATGTAAAAAGAGTAATCATAATTTAAATTTTAATAATAAAAATAAAAAATAACTAAAAGTGTTGGAGTGTAATCCAAAGAACGTTCTGTGGTTTAAGTCAGTCAGTGAGAATGAATATAATAATGCCGCTTTTTGAATGTTAATATATTAACAACTATTTGAACAATTTATAAAATATTATTGATTTTAGATAGGCTAAGGGCCTTTAATAACTGTGCTAAATTCTTTATATAGATTTAGAGTTGTGAGCGGTCAAAAATGGCTCGAAATGGTTCGTATAATACACACAGTTCCTGCGTCGCCAGTTCCTTTTTCTATGAACATGGTTGGATACGCTGCCTCGTGCCTAGATATAATCCATATAATACATCATTTAGATTGGATCAATTACTTTGCACAGAATAACTAAGTTGGCGTGACTAATTCACAAATAACTTGCTAGTTTTCTATAGTTTACAACCACTGTAGTCGTTTATTTTACACTAACTTCTGCCAGTAGCTTCGTTCGCATTATTTATTTTATTCATTTATTTATTTTTTATTGCACAATAAAACTCTGTGCAAGGGGCAAGCTTAATGCCATAATATGGCATTCTCTACCAGCTAACCATTATGTAAAAACAGAAAGCGTATGAAGGGCAGATGTGGTGAAAAATATGTGACATAATTATAGCAACATACTGAGTATGTTCATTGACCGAGGCAAGAAGTAGTTTATATACTATATATTCCTTCCCATATAAGTACAGTTATACTATTTTATAAAATTTATAGTGATAGGTTTATCTATTAAGGTGCTAAGAGGTAACAAACTCACTTTCACATCACTATCGCTACATGGTATAACTGCTGATTTTAACCATTGTACAACCAGCCACAAACTAAAATGTCATCCCAACTATCTGGACGAGCGGCGGTCTTCCACCGTGCGTTTTTCAAGGCACTTTTTTCTACGCACTACCATTCTTTGGAATCAACTTACAGCAGTAGTAGTATTTAAGAAAAGAACATATTCCTTTTTAAAAAGCCGGCAGCAAACCTGCAATGCCGTTGGTGTTGTAGGTCATGGAGAATAGGATCATGGGCGGCGGTAGTCACTTACCATCAGGTGACCCGCATGCTCGGTTGCCTCTTGTGTTGTAAAAAAATAGTATAAAACAAAGTAGCTTCCTGTCTGCCTGTCCCTATGTATGCTTAGATCTTTAAAAGTATGCAATGGATTTTGATGCGTTTTTTTTTATAGATATAGTGATTCAAAAGAAAGGTTTATATGTATAATACACGCATAGTACAGTAAAGAAACATTGATAATTTTACAGGTTTCTAACATGATACAGTGAAAAAACACTTTTTTGCGCTTACATTGCAAACGCTGGCTGCACCCTACGAGATAGATCAAAGTAATTTACTACAGTATTGTATACCTTAAGAAGATCTACAAAAAAGTCCGCAATATTATATGTTTATCTCTTAGGTATAACCCACAATAATCATTTTTAACAGATTTTTAACATAACTGTCATAATTTATCTTTTACCTGTAAAAAAAGTCAATAAGTTATTTCACGGTAGCTGTTGCCGCTGATGATAACAAATTATAGACTAGGTCTTATGCTCTTATGGGTTGTTATTATATTATAATGTATAAATTTTAAAATTGATAATCCTTATATTATTTAATTTTATTAAAATACTTGGTTAAAATTTAACAGTTAACGTAATATGCACATATTTACCCCATATAGAGTTTGTAATGGCAAAGGCATCAAGAGCTTGGGGTTTTGTAATTCGCAATGCCAGGGAATTTATAAATCCAAAAACTAAAATAAAATTATATTATTCATTAGTTCGAAGCGTCTTGGAGTACGGTTTGATAGGTTGGCGACCACATTATTCAACCCATATTTTAAGATTAGAGTGTATACAAAAAAGTTTCTCAGACATTTGGCTTTATCTCTAGTATTCTTAATATTAAATCTTATCAGTGTAACAATTGCTGGGAGACCAAATAAAGATGAAATAAAAAATTACAAAAAAAGTAGTTATGTAAAAATAATTCTAGAAAAGGATGATACAGATGTGCTTACTTGACAGGGGCCACTGCTGTCCCCTGACTAAATTTATATACTAAATACTATAAAGTTATATATATAACCAATAGATGGCGCTGCAACAAAACTACTACGCGATATTAATGTTTATCGCTATTCTATGACTACCTGGGAGTTGTAGATTTTCTTTATCGCTTCTCGGCCTTTTGGCTAAGATCAAAGTGTAGTATCTGTTCTTATCAGCTTAATATCTGATACGTCCCTCACTGAGGGACCAGTATATTAAACTGATTTTTGTAAACCGACGGGATGTTCGGGGCTCGCTCCACTCCCGTCACGGGTCGGCCCGGCATTGCAGTGCCGCCGGGATTGGCCCACATAATGAAGTAAAAAATTTCTCTCACTGGCCCTTATACCCGTCGCATAATGGTAGAAGATTCAAAAGAAATGCATGCATGAGTATATTAATGGTTAAGTTTTTCCACAGGAAGACTTTACAAAAGTCGTTTGGTTTTGGGTGCTTCCGTCCCATTCGTGTTTTAACCATAAAGCAGTTGTTTGCATAGCTGTGTTTCGGTTTGAAGGGTGGTATGGCGTGAATTTACAGGGTACAGAGGAATAACAACTGAGTCCTCAGGAATGGCAACGAAATGTCAGATTTTTTTCAATTTAGAAACCTGTAAAATTATCAATGTTTCTTTACTGTACTATGCGTGTATTATACATATAAACCTTTCTTTTGAATCACTATATCTATAAAAAAAAACGCATCAAAATCCATTGCATACTTTTAAAGATCTAAGCATACATAGGGACAGGCAGACAGGAAGCTACTTTGTTTTATACTATTTTTTTACAACACAAGAGGCAACCGAGCATGCGGGTCACCTGATGGTAAGTGACTACCGCCGCCCATGATCCTATTCTCCATGACCTACAACACCAACGGCATTGCAGGTTTGCTGCCGGCTTTTTAAAAAGGAATATGTTCTTTTCTTAAATACTACTACTGCTGTAAGTTGATTCCAAAGAATGGTAGTGCGTAGAAAAAAGTGCCTTGAAAAACGCACGGTGGAAGACCGCCGCTCGTCCAGATAGTTGGGATGACATTTTAGTTTGTGGCTGGTTGTACAATGGTTAAAATCAGCAGTTATACCATGTAGCGATAGTGATGTGAAAGTGAGTTTGTTACCTCTTAGCACCTTAATAGATAAACCTATCACTATAAATTTTATAAAATAGTATAACTGTACTTATATGGGTAGGAATATATAGTATATAAACTACTTCTTGCCTCGGTCAATGAACATACTCAGTATGTTGCTATAATTATGTCACATATTTTTCACCACATCTGCCCTTCATACGCTTTCTGTTTTTACATAATGGTTAGCTGGTAGAGAATGCCATATTATGGCATTAAGCTTGCCCCTTGCACAGAGTTTTATTGTGCAATAAAAAATAAATAAATGAATAAAATAAATAACGCAAACGAAGCTACTGGCAGAAGTTAGTGTAATATAAACGACTACAGTGGTTGTAAACTATAGAAAACTATCAAGTTATTTGTGAATTAGTCACACCAACTTAGTTATTCTCTGCAAAGTAATTGATCCAATCTAAATGATGTCTTTAATGCATAATATGGATTATATCTAGGCACGCGGCAGCGTATCCAACCATGTTCATAGAAAAAGGAACTGGCGACGCAGGAACCGTGTGTATTATACGAACCATTTCGAGCCATTTTTGACCGCTCACAACTCTAAATCTATATAAAGAATTTAGTTATATATAATAGCACAGTTATTAAGGGCCTTTAGCCTGTCTAAAATCCATAATATTTTACATATTGCTCAAATAGTTGTTGATATATTAACATTCAAAAAGCGGCATTATTATATTCATTCTCACTGACTGACTTATAGAAAAAAAAACCTAATCCACTTCTAGGTGATCTAGAAACATGATACGATTATAAAATTTAAATGTCTCAAAATAGAAATTAAATCATATTTATTCGCTTGCTACATGGTACAATAAGAAGTTATATATACAGGTACATAACATGCAGCACCGCGCAGAGGTAATATAATAAAAAACAGTATATAATTGAAATAATGTGTATTTTACATTTTTCAGTATCAATAAAATATTAATTTTATTATATTAAATCTATGGTTACAAAAATAACTGTCCCTATATCAATTATAAAACATATTCATAATTACATTTTCATACATTACAATGTTTTGCCTTTATATTAACTTATTCATAAAATTTCCTAGTTGTATTTAAAATAGGACTATTTACAATGAAAGAACTCAATGAATACTTAATTATATGACTATTTTAGATGTTGGTGTTATATAATAATGACAAGTCTTAAATTATGTCATGTTTTGGAGATAGCTACCGTTACAATTTAGTATATGACAAACTAAATGAGCAGTAGGATCTTATAAAAACAGTTAGTGGATTCCGTAAACATTAATTATACAGGTTGAATTCGCAATTGTTATTGAGGGAGCGTTTTTCCAATAAAATTTAACAATTTTTTTTGTAAATTTTATACATTTTGAGAGACATTTCTCTGAAAAAAAAATCATTAGTTTTTCTAGTAGAGCACTCCTTTAAAGATGATAATGATGTTAATTACATCCTGTATATCGATAATATAATTTACAATAATTTTAATTACTAGATAAATATAAGCTTTATTAGTTTTTAATAATGCAATTACCAGAATAATGTATAAACATTTGAGCACCATGGTTACTGTACATTATGTGAAATTTATAATAACACAAAATACAACAAATATATTTTTATGCGTAATATTACATAAAATAATATAACATATACCATACATATATTTTATATGTATTTTCTACATTTTTATAATGACATAAGTTAATAATACAGTTCTTTCAATTAGCATAATTTTAAGTAATTATATTTATACAAATATAAATTTTTGCATAAATAAATATTGTCAACAGATTTATATTTGATAATAATAGGTTTGAATTATTTATTCATTTTAACCTGATTAGTATGGTTAAGACAAAACTACAATGAAATTAATTTTATTTATTTATAAAATGATAAAAACAGTTCAATAGTTTACTCTGACTAAACTATTTTTATTGCATAAATAATATGTAATTATAAAATTCATAATAGGATTCATTATTATATAATATTATGTACATTCGATTTATTGTAGAGGAAATTCTGGTAACAATATTTTGGCAAACTGTACAATTATTATTAATATAAATGTATATAATAACAAAATAAATATTGAACTACATTTTCATCATAATATAAGTTCCAGCGAAGAAGTCACTAGGCTAAACAAAAAAATTATTTAAGCAATAAATTGTAATGAAAAAAAGTTTTAAATCATAGTACTACGATATTGCACTCTATTAATTTTATTAAAATTTAATACATTCACAACGAATTATATTTATTTAATCGATCCTAATAAAATGTTTAAATTATCACAATTTAAATATAGTATTTATTCTATTAAATGAATTTATAATATAAATTAAATATAGTATAGATATTTATTTCAAATATATTTCGAAAACATATATGTATATATATTGTCGATAATCTGTATATAATTTAGAAATATCGTCATTAATACTAGTTTACAATTAAGACTTGAATTTTGGAATAAACAATACACTATCAAATAATATTTACAATTTAAGTTCATATTTAATGGCAAGCCTATTTAAAAGTACATAGAAATAAGATCTGTGAATTATTAGCTAATATAACAGAGAATATACTGTTTTAACACTCATGTACGTATTTAATATTCATTTTAATGTATTGCTTTTAACAGCACATTATTCGAATAGTAACTTTGTAGTTTATTAGGAAAGTCAACTAAACATTCAATATAGATGGCACCACGTAATTTATTGCCATTTCTTTCTATCGTATATATTGTGATAATGATAGCATCAAGCTAAATTGCAGATTATTAAATACTAAGAAATCAAAGTGAATTTTTCACAGTGTCACAACATAAAAAAAAAAATGTTTTCTATGAGAACTATCTCTTTTCACTGAAATATATTTGTCTCACTTATAAATAAGTTTCAATAGTGTCAAATCGATATACTTACATGGTGTTCAGATTTAATTGTATGGTTCGGTATGAGACAATGTTATAACGAGGCTTTAACACAGAGACCGAAATGTGGAAATTGTGGACTACATTTTATATAGAATATCGCCTGTAGTTTTTTTTTTCGTTTAGAATGTGGCGTCCCATCCGGAGAGGTCGTCAGGTGGCGGTTCATCTGCATCAGGCGGATACTGGTCGAAGTTGTGCGTATCGACAGCGGACTTTACGACTGGTGTGATCGGCGGCTCTAAGGTGCGCTGAGCCAGGCCCTCCCAGTTGAAGCCGTCAAACCATCTAGAAAGGTCATTGTTCGTTTGTTACACTTCATTGTACAGTGAAATCTTAAAAGATGAGCTACAGAGTTCTTAAGAAAAGAATGAGTAACATGACAAACTGTAATACTGTTATTATATTATTTTTTATATATATACATATATCATCATTCATCATTTTCCTACCCTTATCCCAATTATTATTTGGGGTCGGCGTAATATGCTTTTTATCCATATTATATATATATATATATATATATATATATATATATATATATATATATATATATATATATATATATATATATATATATATAATTTATATCAGGGGTGGTCAATTGGTTGATCGTGATCGACTGGTCGAACGTGACTTGACTAATAGTAGAACGTTACTATTAGTTCAGTCGATCGCGACTATTAGTCTAGTAGATTGTGGCAAGGCTAAAATATAATATTTTGCTAATATAACGGAGTATGCTCAGACGCAATGCTTACACTAATATAAATAAGTAGTTGCTAAGAATAATTTTCAGTTTTATGTTAGTCAAGTTTGTCAGTCCCTCTTAATAAAATACAAAATTGTATACTGAATTATATTGTTTCATTTGAGATTTCAAGCAGTATATAATTGGTCTTACAGGGTTTCGTCTGTAAACAGTAGATCTTGGGTCTAGTCAAGTCGGCCACCTCTGATTTATTTCATCATATAAGCCGCCGTTAACTATCCACTGCTGAACATTGGCCTCGCCTTTGAAGGTTTTGCCAGTTTGGCAACCAAAGTTTAACTTCGGCAGTTGACGTTTTAAGAGGAACGCTGTTGTTCATCTTTCGACTATTAAATTCCTTTGAAATGAAGAAAGGGATGACCATTCTATATCGGGACCACACGGCTTATTACAATTATTTATTGCTTTTCATTCTGTCTCTAATTAATCAGATGGACATTTTGTAAAAAAGTCGTCTGTTTTGGTATTTCTGTCCCATTTGTATTATTGCCGTGAAGCAATTGTTTGCATGGCTGAGTTGTGGATGTATGTGGCAGTGAAATTACAGTTACATGGCATATCACCTTAATCAACAGGAATGACAACGTTTGCGGGATATAATAATAATCTTTAGTAATAAAAATAAATATACTCTGTTATGTTCATGGTACTATTCACTTTCCATCAGGTAAACCATCAGCTTGTTTGCCATTATAACATGCATAAAATAAAATACAATGCTGATTAATTATGAAATTAATGTACAGTAATATTACAAATTTACATTTAAAAAGTGTCAAGGTTTAATATTAGAAACTGTACTCACTTGTGTTTCTGTATCTCAGTGATGCCTCCTCTCTGATACCCAAGTCGTTCGGCAGGGTTGTCACGACACAATTTCTTTATGAGATTAGCTGCGTTTCTGGTGATCGATCGGGGGAATTCCACGGCATCAATACCCTTGAGAATCTTGTTATAAATTTTCATTGGGTCAGCTCCGGTGAATGGAGGTGATCCTGTCAGCAGCTCGAACATTAGCACACCTGAAATAGATTTTTTCATATTCATTATGTTATAACTTTGGTTTTGGTTTGTATAAATACAACATGTCTCCAGCTACCGCAAGCAATCCAACTAGCTTTCAATAAGGCACCGACGTAGTATGCACATACTGTCCTTGCCGTACAAGATGTTGTTTGGCCCTTTAGCCCCAGATTACCTCCGAGAGAGATTTTCCTTCAAAATCCCCGATCCCTGTGTGCGTTGTCTAAAGCATCATACATTGAAATTAGCTATCCACAACTTCTAGTTCTACACCAAATCCTTTACAATACAAGCTGCTAGACTCTAGAATTCCCTCCCAAATTATACCAGAATGGCGCAGACCGTTTATGCCTTAAAGCTCAAACAAAATATTTTACAATACAATTAACAGTTGAGATACTTAAATGTATAATAGTTATTCTATGTTAATGTATAAATATATTATTTATCGTATTATTTTTTCACCATATATATTATGCTTTATATACAAACTGACTGGAAGAAATCCTTTAAAGGATAAGTACGCCTGTATACATTTTTGTTATAAACTAATTTCTATAAGTGAATGTACAAAAGCATATAAATAAAAATAAATAAAACTTTTTCAGTTTTACAACACTTGGTTTCACAAACTATTATATTATATAATTTAAGGAAAAAAATGTTGAACATTTGTAACTGGATTCAAGAAGCTATATTTAATGATACCTTATCTGGTGTGATCTAATGGAAAGAAAAAACAAATCAAACGTTTAATTTATGGATGGACATGGTCCGTTAACATTTTAAAATTATTTATGTATATGACACAACAGCAACATCAAAATCACGTGTACAGATAGACAGACAGACAAGTAGACAGCGATCGACCACTAAAAGTCACTATCTAACATAATGATCTTTATCTATTGTCAATCATGCAAGCCTTTTACATACGCTCCAAACCATAAAATCGTTCAAATCGTCCATCAATAAAATAACACACACAAGTTTTCTGTCTTCAGTTTTTGAACGGGTGCTACTTAGTTGCAAGGCCTTTTGTTTGGCTTTTACTTAATAGCTGAACCTCGAAGCCGGATCTTACCTAATGACCAATAGTCTGCGCTGATATCATGACCTCTATTCATAATGACTTCGGGCGCAACATACTCAGGAGTACCACAGAATGTCCAAGTCTTACGGCTCGCTTGCAGCTTCTTGGAGAAACCGAAATCGACTAATTTCACATAACCTTTGGAGTCTAATAATAAGTTTTCCGGTTTGAGATCCCTGGAAATGAAAACGATATATTTTTAACTGCTGTCCTATAAAATTTACTTGTATAATTTCAATAAGTACTAAAACTATATACATTACAAAAGTTACTGTTACAATATAATGAATTTTGAGACCTGATAATCTCACTCAAGTTTCAAATTTGATTGTAGATGTGACGATCATGATCTCATAACGCTCTCCGTAACAAAAGAATAGAATATTCTAGAATTTTTATACAAAATATAATATTGACTTTTTATTAAACATTTATATAGGTTACCAATAGTTTATTTCTGTTACCAATAGTACAATAACGGCAATTGATTGTGTAATCATAAAAATGTGCTCTATAAGTACACTTATTTTTATGACGTATATAAAAATGAAAATTAAATTTTATGAGGCTCCAGTGAATATGAATTAAGTATTATGTAATTTTAAAGTGTAATTTAAAGTAATTTATATACTCAAGTTGAATGTATTGCTCACCTGTAAATGATATTCCTAGAATGTAGATAATGGAAGGCTTCTACAACGCAAGCGGTATAGAACCTTGTTGTGGCATCATCAAACTGGCCTAAAAATAAAAAGAAATAGGTTGTTAAATAATGACTATCATACAATAATGTTACACATTTTGGATAAATACAAAGCTCTCTTAATTGATAAGCTTTTAGCTTAATAATTTACAGATAAACTTTAGAATAAGATATTTTTTACAAAGTTGAGATAATTATATAGTTAATTTTAAATTCACCTCTGTCTCTTAAAATAGTCCACAACTCTCCTCCGAGGCATGTCTCCATCAACATATACAAGTATTTGCGATCTTTAAATGTCTTAAATAGCTTCACTATGAATTCGCAGTTCATTTCTGACATTATCTCCTTTTCTGACATAATATGTTGCTGCTGTCTCGTTTCAACGATTTGGGCTTTCTTCATCTGCTTCAAGGCGAACGATCGACTCGGATCTCCTTGTATTTGCACAAGTTCCACTCTTCCGAAACCGCCGATACCGAGGGTGGCTATGATACGAAGATCTGATAAGCGCAAATTGGCAAATTCTTCATTTAATCTGAAATGACAATTAATATGCATTAAATACTCTGAAAATTTTAATATTATCTGTTAAAATTATATTTTTAATGATTCCAATATTGTTCATATAACAAACCTAATCTTATTAATAATTATTTTTATATTTACTTGTATATCAGTCTCAAGTCATCATAAAGACACTGTTATTTTTTGTTAAAACAGAGTTTTATGTTGATATTCCTAATGCAAAAATTCAGTATCAATTAGTCTTTCTTTTATAATATATACATTATTTATTATCACTACTTGTCTTATTTACTTTGGTACTTACTTAGAATAAATCCATCTTTGAATTAAATATTCATATATAAATAGATTGATTTATTCTACAGCCATATCACTTATGTGGACTAAAAGACTAATTATAAACATAATACCTCTCAAGGTTTATATAGTGTAATTATAATATATTAATACAAATAATGTATTTGTCAATAGCAAATCGATTCAGTCTCACTACTTATCTATTGTTCGAGTTGCAACTATGGTTAAATATGTACAAAAACGCGGGAATCTAATCTTATACTACAATGGCTCGCGTTAATTTAAATTTTCTATATCGAAGAGGAAAGTTAATAACTAGTTATTATAACTATTTGACATTGACAACAAGTTTCCCAAAGAAAGTTTTGAAATAATTAACACAACATTTATCATCTTCTTACTTACCATATTGCAAATAAATCCTCATAATTGTTAGCAGGAAAAAATAAAAAGAATATAGGATTATGGATAGCGAAATATAGTCATGAATTCAATACGATTTTCTATTTATACCGAAATTAGGTATTGTTCTAGATAAAAAAAGACATAGTAACACAATAGCAGGACTGCATTGAAATGAAATCTATTGTGGACCATGCTAAAGGCACGATTTCGATGTTTTGTGTAAACTTGACATAGGAAGCTTGTATGTAATGAAATCATCATCGACTAAAACGTTAACTGCATATATGAATCATTACTTCTGTCATAATATCATTGCTTCAGTCATCATTGCTATTCGTTGGATCTATTTACAAAACATTCATATCTTTGAACTCATCTCATATAATCCATATAAAAAAAACAATCATTAAGCTAAATTTTAAAAGTACTCTGACCTAAAATGTGTTTTTCTAATGTTTCCTACATTAGTAAAAACTCTATACAATGAGAAAAAATGGACAGAATGATATCAACGCAATACTATTTTAATATGATTTAAAAGTCTCCCATAAGAATACTAAATAACTTGGTCCTTTAATTTACATTCTCAAGATTTTTCTAATTAAAAACCGAGCTCTACGATATAATGAGTTTCTTCTCCTAAAGTGGCCAATGACGTCAATTAGGCGACTATTTATCTTTGTTGTGCTACGAAGGTCGGTTGTTATCATAAGAAACAGATGCTGAGAATAGATCTATGACCTTGACACTGGCTTTATTCTCACAGAAACTGATAAAAGTAGATTATATCCTTAATTCTTACCTCTGTCTACTATCGCCTTCGTCTTTATATTTGGTACGTATCTCATCTAGGGTCGAAATGAGTTGGTTGAAGGTCTCCCGATCAATTACAAGGCATGTACAACCTTCTGGTGAGTCACAGATGATATTGGCTGTTCGAAGGTCATCTCTGAAACATTGATAGAAAGCATGGAAAAACTAAAATAAATGTGCCCTGAAACGTGCGAAAAACCAGTTAAATTAAACGAATTAAACGATACGCACTACTTCGCAAAAGTGAATATTTTTCAAATCTGAGTTTAACTTCAAAATAAATTGCAAGAAAATAAATCAAGAATTATATGGTTAACTATTGGAAAATCCCCGTTAATTTACGGTAAAAATATAAAATAAATAATGACTGACTAAGAATTGTTACTTCCTTAATATTCAGTGGATTAGAATTATTTTGTTAAATTGTGCTACCATTTGTTTGTGTAAAATAAAACTTAATTCAGGAAAAAAATAAAAATAACCAGAAACCCGGAAAAAGCAAAGTATATTCAAGTTTCCGGGTAAAATTCGGTTCAAAATCGCGTTGAACCACATATAGTCTGAGTAGGAGAAATCCAAAGATTTGTTTGAGCAATGGATTTGGTCCAGGCTTATCGGGGGCCATTTTTTACTGTATTTGCAATATAACCAATTTCATGGAATTCAAGCCACAGAAGACAATAATTCTGGGAAATTTATAAACCACAGAAAAATAACAATGAATATATGGAATTACTACTGTATCTGTTTGTTAGCATACATCATCCATATGAATTATTCTAAAGAGGTTTTATTATGTATCAAAGTTACATTCGTATACTATTTTTTCAAAAGTGAACGTAATATAGTAGATAATTAGCAGGAACACTGTTATTAACATAATAATCTCATAAGAAAATTTAAGTCATAATACCTAGTTAGCTGCTCTATCAATTGATAATCTACATTTTCTTAAACGTTAAAATTAACATCGGAACGTAATTCTTAATAAAATCAAAATATCCTATTATAGTTGTAATAATGACACTAATAAAGACTAGTACATACCCTTGTAACGCTTTTTCTCCGAAGAAATCGCCTTTCGTTAGTGTTCTAATGAATTTCTCATCGTTACTGTTTGGTTGCTTCTGGGTCACTTTTACCTGAAATGCAAAAAACAAGAACACCATTAATAGATCGTCGGATATAAAGTAGTATTTTTATGTATGATAATCATTAAACATGTTCACTGTTTTCAATTGTAAATAGACAACCACGAGCAAATTTATAGAAAGCTGTGGTTCGTTTATCACATAGTTGAATTACAGCTCTAAAAAATAATACAAAATAAATATGCAATACTAAGCTACTGGAATATTATGTGAGAAATATATAATACAACATAATCTACTTGTATTCTTAAAAAAAAAAAAAAGAATTACAATTTAAAAGTAATTAAAGTAACATCAAAATTTGATAAAATGTTAATAGATGTTACATGATCACGAGAAAATAGGTGAATGCATTTCAACGTTTATAATTAAATGGGTATTAGTATCAACTTTGTACATTAGTATTGAAGAACAGTCAAACTGTAGTTTGATTTCTTCATTATATAATGTTGCGTAGAAAATAGAGGTCTTTGTTAATTGGATGATCATGTTTGAGGTAAACTGATAAGTTAGATCCTTTAAGTCTTTAGAGGGTATAGACATTAACTAAGAAAAAGGTCTTCTGAGAACGAGATAAAATGCGATTGACATAGGAAACTCTAAAATAAAGGTGTTTTTTTTATTGCAATTGATAGTATACTTATTGAGAAAGCTGATACACTATTATAACTACGAGCAAAACCACAGAATACACCTAGTATATACCTAATAAAAACATAACCTAAATGCAGTTGGATGAAAAATCTTTAACATTCATATCGTGGTGATAAAATATCGAGGTATTACCCAATTACTGCACGTGGCTATGAGTATTGAATAGAATCATATATAAGATCGCTTTTAATGTTGCTGTCACGCTTTCTTCCCTTTATGATATCAACGTCCACATGTCCACAATTGTATTCATCGGCTTGTATCGTACCATCACACATTTTTCTACTTCGTACACGTATGTTGGCTTTTGTTAGTCCTAATGTGAACTTCTTTACGAATATCCCCGATTTTCTTGACGGTCGTTCGTCACGTTTATAACCAAGTTAGTGATGTTAGAATTTTTATGATGTCATACTATTAGACCCATTGTCCATGCTATATAGCTTTATTACTTCTATATCAAATTTCATTCGAAAAGGTTGAGTTTTACTTGCGTAGCATAACGGTCAGAAAGTTCAATCAATAACCGACAATCACTTTTTCACATTTACAACATTAATGAGGAACATGACAAAGTCATACGAATTCAGTCAATTTAAATTATATTTATGAAATATAATTAACATTTAATTATGTGACATAAAGTAGGCGCAATGCTTAGATTTGTAAACTAAAACGTAGCAGAAACAGGTTTGGTCAAGATTATTATCCATAGAAAACCGGCGTCAATATCGAAAGTTGTTATTAAAATCCGGATGTACAACATTAAGGCAAGAGCGTAAATTAAAATACGACGGAAATTCGATTGTTACAATTTTTTTATAATTACGTTTATAATAGAGACTTCAATCGTGACAGATTAAATATTGGTCCAACACTGGAGAAAATCAGAACTTTTTTATACACATTTATTTATACACCTACTAAATACCAAAATATTGCAATCGGTTACATAAAGCTACATAAGAAGAAGATTCATAAAAATTGCATACGTTTTCTTATAGATACGAGTATATACATTTATTTTTATTTCATGATAACCGTGACATTTGACATCTATAAAAATTTATGAAAATTATTTGCAAGTACCATTAACAGTTTCTCAATACAATAATCAATATGAGTTAAAGAACACATTACCTAATAATAAATACACTTGGGATTAAAAATAATACTGGTATAAGACAAAAACCTATTATTGTAGAAAATTATACTGTTTTAAGCGTTTTTATTAATGCCAATTGATAAATGTTTTATGGATATTAGTCTATTTTCTTTGGTTAACCACCTGATATTTCCACATCTGTCATAATGTTCGCATATTTATTTTATTCACCTATGTATGGAAAGATGGCCTTAGAATTCAGGTTAATAAAGTTCTACCAAATTGTTGTTATTATATAGCCGTAAAAGGTTAACAGATATAATACCTGTAGTTACTTTTTTCAATTTCTTATTATTGTCATATTTTTATAGAATTTAGAATGATAAATAAGCTGACGGCCCACCAGATGGAATGTGGTGTAACTGTTTACTGCAGATATGAATAGCACCATAGATATCAGAGAAATTACCGAGTTATATGGCGTTCTATGAACTTCTCCTATATAAAGTATATATAGAAGTATACTCTCCTGAATACGTCATACATACCTGAATACTAGGATGTCATTCCTTTATATTTATGGAATAATCTGACTCTAATATCTTATTTTTCACAAAGACGAATGAAGCAAGGATAGGTACCCATGCAGATAGTTTTATATCCTATCTGGTTAGCTATTATTATCGATTATTATACTGTAACAATGTTCAACAGTGAACTATTAATGACTGATATAGTTTGATATGGTATATAAACTAATAACAATCTATTACTGGGCCCATTAAATGAGGCTATTAGATTAGTATTACTGTAATAATAAGGCATTTTAATATTATTTAGAGTTTTCCTATTCCACCATTAGTAAATGGTATTATTACTACTATTTGTATCTTTGCTTATATTGTGATATGGTGCTTTTCCGCCTTATCAACTCTTACGACACATTTCTCTTATATATATAATATTAATAATAGTAGCGTACATAATATTACCTTAGTCTTACGCAAATTATGCTAATGCTATGCTACTTTAGGTTAATCATAATTTATAAAATTTCTTTCTCATATAATTTATAGTTACTTTCCGGTAAGGTGTAAATTAAACATTAAGCAATGAGAGCAAAAAAGCTATGAGACGATGCGATAACAACGGAAATGGATGAGATAACAGAGTTTGAAGTAACAAGCGTCTGACCAAACAAGCCGGACAGTTTCAAAAGAAAAAACGGGAACCCACTTTCCGCTCTAATGATTATTTGACAAGAATTCATAATCATCGCATTTGATTATGTGGTTCGTAGCTAGCATTTAATTCAATCTAAGCTTACCACCATGACTGCGACATTTTCGCACTTTCTCTCATTATCGATTAAAAATTTCTCCGTTCGATCAATCTAATCAGTTTTTATGAACAATAACTATAGTTATAAAAACAAATATAATCAAGTAATTCAAGTTAGTATTGTAGAAAATCTGTTGATAAATATATAAAAATTAATTGAATTGAAAAATGTTGTTGAAACGTTCTTTGTTCTGATGCAATGATTAAGTCATTGGCTAGGTCTTGTAAGAATGGCATTGCTTCATTATTATAACTATAGCTAAACGTCATATTATTTCTATTTCATAATTAAGAACAATGATCTCGCGAAAACGTTGCATATTCTCCTAAAGAGATTTCGTAAATATTTTGAGCCTAAATGTATAAACTGTAATGTCAAATTCCACAGTATCCACTAAACCAAGTCCTTTAAAGATATCTATAAAACACAATTATATGACATAATTAGATGGTATATTTTGCAGATTTGACCGCGTGTATAATATAAAGAAGCATCCTATGTATGTATTAAACTAGGATTTAGTTCATTTGAGTGATGTGAATAATCATTTTTGTTCAAAATTTTACCGGAATGCGAATACAAAATATCCAAACATCTTTACAAACTAACATTATTAATACTAGTAGAATAAAAAGAAATGAAGAACAAAGAACGTAAAATAGAATGAGGAATAACAATTAAAAAAAATCAACTAATCTCTGTACATCTTTATAACATAATATGAAGCCCAATTTTTATCAAATATCCAAATATTCTTAACCGTTTTTATCATATTTAAAATGTTTATATTCAACGAAGAATGTTTCATTAGTTGTCAAGAGTAGAGTATTCCCACAAAGCCGTATAAAAATCTGGCCTCAAAATACCATACGTCCTCTCGCCGCGCACAGTGCGCTGACCTTGCGGCACAATAGCGCTGCTTTTGGCCTTAACATCCTTTAAACAGACCAAGCATTAAAAACATAGTTAACCACAGTAGTAACAGACTAGTCAATTTCTATATAGTCTCCTCTATATCAGTTATCATAAAAATAATATCACTAAACACAACGCGTCGTCTAGTTCCAAACTAAGCAGAGCTTGGGCTATGGGTGCAAGAGAGCACAATGACATACTTAAATACATTTTTTTTTTTAAATATAGATGTTACATGAAAAACACCAATACAAAAGACGGTATTGTAAGTGGATACAAATTGAAACTTGCTCTTCCGAAGTATCGTTTTAAAAAAAGTTAATAGGTCTTTTATGGGAATGGACATCAAATAAGATACCGAAAGATATTTTGGATCTACATTTTAGTAAATTTAAAAGGGTTAATAAAAAATTCTTATTGAACGATACATATTAAATAATTTAAATAATCGACAATGTGCATAGTGGTAACCGATCATGCACTGGCTTTTTATTGCACAGTAATTTTAGACATTTAGATAAACACAATTTTAACACAGATCTAAAAAAATAACTATTAAGTTTCTTGCGGGTTCTTCTCTTTTAACAGTATTTAACTTAATACAGTATTTTAAATACTGTATTCATAAAAAATAATGATTTAAAAGTGCTTGTAAACAAGTTTATTTGAACAATGATGATTTGAATTTGATCGAACGCGCGACTATCAGAAAGTGAGACATTGTATAGAACCATCTTCAACAAGATTTTCAAAACATACACAAAACAACACAACACGAAACACATCAAACACAAAAAGTTAAGGAACAAATAGTATATTAATAATTAATATCGGTTATGTAGTTTAACTCTATATTTATAATTCCTTCTCCTTCTATTGGTCAGGCTGTAACAACCGGGCTTTGCAGAATTATAAGCAACACAAATGCCAAGGTGAACCTCTTACACAGTCACCCGTGTCTGACGCGATCACTATTATATATTTTCACAGACATTTAAATGAGTAATAAAGGAACTGTTTCGACTATATTAATATTAATTCTGTGAACTGTCTCAAAATCGTTTCGAAAGTTAATATATTAAAAACGAATGTAAATAAGAAACTTTCTTTGTTAATTTTATATAGCGTAATATGAGATCCAATTGTTATGTCATCGTGTTTGAGCAGACTGAAAGCGAAGTTGTGTTTGTTTAAGATGGTTTGGATCGCGATTATGGTTCAAATCCTTGTTTATAAAACATTACGCTATATACGAATAAGTCACGTAGTTCAAAGACTATGCGACTGTGCGAACATCTTGAAAGTTGTACCGCAGAATGAAAGTGAAATTGTTGACTCTCGTTCGACAATCTTCACAGTAAAGATGGAAAGAATTTCTATTTAACACATTGTTATCGAAACAGATTATTATGTTTTTAAATGACAACCAAAAGGTTATATAAAAATAAAGTTCTAAATTGGTAATATATTTTGATTATGTTACGCGATAATATCGCCAATCGATTATCACAATTCTTTTTGCAATTGATTGCAATAGAATGTACTCCTATGCTTGTTTTTATTTTATTTTTTGACAGCTGCCTTTTCATTACTGAGCAAAACACTGCTTATTGGGAAGCTAAATTTATATTTAAATACGCAATGCATTTCCGCATTCTGATTTTAAACATTTGCAATGTATAGTATCTACGAAACGTCTAGTCATTTATTGGTGTGTGTGCATTCACGCCTAAAGTTGCAAACTTTTTTAGGGAGCAATATGTATGTATGTGACAGTATTGACTAAAGAAATAAATTTCATAACTATCCCATTAAATTGTATGCAGACAAATTACGCGTACATATAAATTGATTCTAACATTACACTGCAGTAGTCGTTAAAAAGTCACTTGACATTATAAAGATAGTTATTTATGGAGACAAGTTAAGCGACTTGCACTGGTTTAATAGCATAAAACATTTTGTGGACTGGTTGAACAGAACACATATCCTTTTACAGAGTATAGCAATGCACGTCTTAAAAACGTTAAGAAGGAGAACGCAATAAAATCTGAATACATTAACCTACTGCTATTTTTGTAAATGGAAATAGGTATGGGTCAGTGAAAACAGAGTGTATTTATAGAATTTTAAAGTACTAGGAACAAGCACTACATTTGAAATGAAATGTGCTTGTTTGCCATTTCATGGTACATAAAAGAGATAATCTTCAAGAGACATTATGTCATAGTCATGGTGGCGGAACTAAATTACAAGTAAAAATAAGTAGCCATAGTTATTTCAATTATGACTCAACAACCATTATATTTATTCCAGTATTTCAAAATATTACGATAAGAAATATATATATATATATATATATATATATATATATATATATATATATATATATATATATATATATATATATATTAGGAATGAATAAAATTTTCAAATAGATTTTTTATAATAATGAAATGTGAAATAGTGGAACGTGAAAGATAAATGTAGATTAATACTTAATTAATATGTTATAATAATAGAATAAATATTTATAACCCATAGTATAGTACTTAATTTGAATGGAGTTATTTCAAATAAAATAAAAGTATCTTGCCAGTAATGAAAACATTTCTAAACCAGAATTCATAATAAAACCAGGAGTGAAACTGATACAGGTTTGCCAGACATTTTGTCGACGAATAAAAATAAACTGGATGCATTAAAACACTCACCTGTCCCTTGGAAATGATGAAGAACGTGTCACCACGCGCTCCTTGCCTGATAATGTAGTCACCGTTCTGATAATGTGTCTCTTCCAAAACATCAGAAATTTTGATAAGCGTGTCTTCGGGAAGGTCTTTGAAGATCGGCACACTGTTGAAAGAATATACTTTTAATATTTTCAATTTGTAATTGAAAATTGCAATCAAATTACCTTTAGGATTATTATGTAAAATTATAACAAAGAAAGACATAAACCAAAAAATTATGCTAATATTATTTTAATAATGGTATTATTTAGAAAATAGGATTGAGAAATCTTAATGTAAAAAAGTTAATAATTGGTACTATAATATATATGGCCTTAAATAAGGTAACAAACATCCATATTTCAATATTTTAAAAACTATAGTATTTAAGTACAGCAATGAAAACACGTTTTTGTTGGTACTGATGTGTGCTGTTATAAACAAATATCTTTCGTAAACTATAATAGACTTACATATTAGTAATAGAACAAAACTAATACAATTATTAAATAGAATTAAATATACAATAATTTTAAATATAGAATTTACATTTAAATATAGAATTTGAAATGCAACATAAACATTCTTAAATGTAAAACTTCCTAGAAGTGTATTGTGTAATTAAGATTGTTTGACCTTCTTTTCTCTATTTTTTTTTTTACTTAACACAAAATTTAAATAAAATTAACAGTTATTAATTAATTAGTAGTGTACTGAAAGTGAATGTAAATTGTAATTACCTAACTCATACTGGTTTAAGACTCCTGATTCATATGAAGAATAAAAAGTTACCACAAAACCAGTTTACAGAATGAAAACATTATTATAATTATTACAGCAATGTTTAAATGATAAAAAGTCGTAATAGTAGTTTGTCTATGTTTTTTTATATGTTTATTTATAGAATTAGAAGCTATAATTATTATAACAAGACTTAGTTATGTATAGACTGATGAATATGGAGGAAGCGAAAGAGGTATGTTTGTATCGGAATATTTGGCGTTCTATTGTTTTAGTCTACCGCAATAGGATACAAGCGTAACGTATATATATGTATGTAAGTAAGGCTTAATTATTTAATTGTAGGTGTACACCAAAAACTTTTATGAAGTAAAAATTTTAAAATTACACATAATAACTGTCGAAAATTAACTATTTTTAACGTCTATTAAATTGTATAAATTCTTTAAAGGGTCAGTGTCAATTTGTATGTTTTGATCCATTTCTAAATTTCGCAATAATACATTTGTACATCATAAAAAAATAATAAAGCATGTTTTACATGACATTTTAAAATTTACCAGTCAAGACAAGGTCTTCAAAATACATGTTTGAGAAAATGTTACATATTCTCTCTAAGAACAAATAGTTACATCACAAAATGCACTATTACATTAGTTTTGCGCAATTAAAAACAAATACACGTTTTAGAAGTCATTATAAGCACTCACGTACAGTTTTGCCCCAACTTGGATACGTGATACATAAAGAATTTTGTAAGTTTCTTACAAAACACACGATGTAAAATTAATTACGGTTCTGATAATGTGTATACCAAAAGTGTTACTTCATGTTAATTTAAACTAAAATAAAAAATTATATTACATGTACATAATATAATAAAAGAAATCTAAAAGCGATAAAAATATATTAAAAAGCATATCAATAATAGATCAAACTAATAGATCGATAAATTAATTTAAAATATCTTGTAAACTCGATAATGACAATTATTAGTAAACAAAGTTAATAGTTATTAATACTTTCGCCATTACGTAATTAAATTCAATGACAACAATAGTTATTCAATGTATATCTTTGTACCTAGTTAAAGTATGTCGAGGTAATAATGAGCGATACATGTTTAAGTAATTAAAGAGGAAAATACAAGAGATTCATTAAAACTATTCGTTTCTGTATTAAACATAGTTTATGGTGTTACATAGAAAATGCCACAAACTGTATGTGTAGTGGCATAAACAAAAACTCCATAAACTTATAATGGGTCATCATGCTTTTTTATTCCCTGGATGTCGTAGGGGACATTTAAGAAACCAAAACAAAATACAACTGCAAGAGAAGCAATAATAATAGACTAATATTTCTCACTTATAAAAAGACTTAGCTCAGTGAGATGTTAATTGGTTATTATAATTATGATGATGATGATAATGATTTTAGGAGAATCTTTGTTGTCTCTTCTGCTAGTGGATATATACTTAGTAAAAAAAGGAGCTGTCTTCTGTAGGGATATCCCATGTTTTGCATAGCTTTTTTAAACAGTGTTTTTAATTTGTTATTTATTATGCTTGAAATTATGATATATAAATAATAATATTATGAACCTTATATTAAGTACATATTTAATCACCAAACTAGAACACGATAATGCACAAATTATATAATATAACATGGTAAAAATAAACAAAACCTACATAAAAAATAGTATAATACCTATAATTGAATATTTTACTTTACAAAAAGACAGCTACATTAATCGCAGTAGTAAAGCTCAACCAAACTGAATATCTTTGGTTGAAAGGTATACTCGTATAAAAGAAAAATAATGTTGTTTATAGATGGCATTCAATGATTCACTGTTTATATTATTCAATATGTTTGCCTCGTCCAAATTGAAAGGTAGATGTGAACCACGTAATGTCGCCATAAAAGTTATGTATTACAAAAAATAAGGTATCAAAGTAGACTCAAAATTGCTAAAATTATCGCGTAACATGCATAAAAAAATACAGGTGAAAGTAGAACATCATCTTTTTTTAAGTCTATTTTTGGATCACAATTTTTTGAAGATTAGGTTTTACTAATTCGCATGGTCGGATATGTTTATTGATCGAAATAAAAACTAGCTTATATTTTTTTCCGTTCGATATATAATATGTTATACCAAATTTCATAGTGATTGGTTAAGTCGTTAAGGCGCTATATAGTAACAAAAAACAAACTCACTTTTATATTTATATTTATAACATTAGTAAGGATTCTCAAAGAGGTGTTCTCTTACCTAATAATATAAATATAATATAACAAATGCAAAAGTTTGTAGCGATGTATGGATGGATGGATGTTTGTTATTCTTTCGCGTAAAAGCTAATAAACGGATTTGAATGAATATTGGAATACGGGTAGGTTATATCCTAAGTTAGCACATAGGATACTTTATGTACAGATTCACGTGGACGGAGCCACGGAATACAGCTAGCATTAAATAAAGAGACTTGGTCAGCAAACTAAATATTCAGATTTTATCAAGATCAAATTCAGTATTCCTAGAACAGACAGTTGAAGTGGTGAAAGGACTTCAATTGAAATGCCATGAGACTGCAACATGACGCTTATTTCGTAAATTGTGCACGAGTGCTTGAGTAACAACAGTGACAAAATTTCGTCAACAACGCCTTTGTTTTACAGCTCGTTTAATACTTTAGAAAAACACTTTGATATCGTGTAATGCATTGTTGGAGGTTTGCATCCATTTTACATATATGGTTATTAATCCCATTAAACAAGGTGAGATTGCATTATAAATTTTTATACAACTTCCTAAAGAAGGAGTTTCTCAAGCCGTCTGTATTTTATATTGCGGTTATGTTACGAAATTTATTTATTTACGTATTTTTTATTAGCCAAAAAATTATTGGTACAAAATGTTGAAAAAAAATATAATGTCACATTAATTTTGAACTCGTTTCAAGAATTCTTTTTCCACAAATGGAAAATAAAATGTATTTTTTTATGAAGAATGAAGGCGTTGTTTTTCTTTCTAGAGTGAAATTTTGCTTGTTGTCTCTTAAAACATTACCAAAAACCTAACTGCTGTTGCCAACCCACCTGCTAAGCATTACAACTACTGGCACTACTACCTCGCCTATAGGTGAGGCAGTGGACAGTTAATGGCTGATATGATGATGACGACGCAATCAAGCTTAAACAGTTAAAAAAATATTGAAATGTGGTACATAGATGAAATATTCTAGAGACTTATCATGTAAAAACCCGTAGCTAATTTTTAATGAGACAAATCTTTAGCTAATTATTTAAATTTATATAATTGCAGTTAAGCAAAATAAAAAGCTTGTATTACAAAATTCACAAACATTATTAAATGTAGATGTTACCTAATATTTCAACCTAGATGCACCGGTACAAAACAGATATAATGCCTAATAATTATATATACACAGTGCTACTTTCATAAGGATGTGTATATACAGATGTTCTGCAGATTAAACCTTGCATCATAATTATAGTAACTCTAACCTAACTGTTTAGCAGCCTACGCACTTACGAAACTGTCTACAGTCACTAAAAGCATCCATATAAATTGTAGAAATAAGATGAAAACATGTAATAATTGATAAAATTAATTTGATAATTACCTTTATAACAGGTATATAAAAGAATTTCCAACATGAATCACTTGTGATATAATAAAGAAAGATCATTTAATAAACAAAAAGGAATTTAAACATTTGGGAGGATAGATGTATAAAATAAACACATACAAAAAATTACCATACAAACATAAAATAATAATATTTTTAATATTATTTGCGGATAATTTTAAAATGTCTAATTTTAACATCTTTCTTTTAGAAATTTAGAATATTTACTTTTTAATTCATGCGTATATTAAACAAATAGAATATAAATTAATACATGTCTAATTTTATATGCAGAAATTTAGATAAAGATGTTAATCGAGAGTCAATAAATATATATTTTTTATTATCTAATTCTGGTAAGAAGAAAATAAATATCTATTAAATTTATGTTCTAATAGTAACTACTACATACAAAGATTTACTATGAAATACATATATTACAACACAAACAAAAACATATTAGTCTATATTAGTACGTACGTGTTCAGTATGGCATGTTAATATCATAAATTAAATATCAATAAAGAGTTATTATCATATAGTTCATGCTTATTAAACAAATATATCATAGGTATGTTCACTACACATGTATGTATATTTCTTTTTCTATTTTTTCACGTTGTATTAATATATGTATAGTATGTTATATTTAGTTTTAGAAAAACAGCATATAAATTTTTAGAAATGAACTTTATCGATTTTTAAAATAATAGATCAGTATGAGCAAAAATGTTAACAAATATACACATAAAAGTGAATCTAGAATAACTCCAGAAGTTTCTTAAAGACTATAGGATAGCAGAATTGGTATAGTAGGTTCCTAAATTTGTCAGAACTACCATAACTGTATGTCATGCTTCAATTCGTCTGTAAAGCTTGTTCGTACACAATGGCTATAAATAAATGTAAATATTGTACTGACGAAAGCAGAAGAATGGGACGTTGTCCTTAACCATTGCATTTGCATAAGTGTCTCGAGGTCAATATCCCTTCATGTCATCGGTAATGCACTTACAAGCAAGTACTTGTATTATAGACACAAACTTTAATGTTACCCTTAATGCAGTTGATATGAATAAAATACTTTTTTACGTTACAGAAAAAAAAATTAACTGTTAATTATTTTCATATTAAAAAGAATGATAATGACTGTTATACGAATATCATAGTACCGTTGTTGATAATTATTACAACAGAAAAGAGAGACATAAAAGAACATTAAACAAAAACATATACAGTAGAACAATCCATTGTTTACTCGGAAAATAAGATCATAAACGTAAACGTACTAAATCATCAGAAACTTAGATAAACCTAAAATTTATTACTGAATCTGAACATTAATATGTCATAAAATATATGGCTAATAAAACTACGTACCACATGTACAAGTAGGGCACATGTTTTATTTCAATCAAATGTTAAAACAATTTCAGTAAGATCACCACAGGCGACGTGAGGTTACTGTCCGCATTACCGTAAACAATTTGTCTCATTAGGAAGGAAAACCAGAATAACTCATTCTAAATACAGACAGCCATTCAAGTGAAATGAACTTTTGAATCAGATAGTTGAGACTCGATCGTGATTTTGCATTTTTTATGATACGAATGGTGTTTGGAAATATAAGAATCACGGTTGGCGGCTCTTCGAAGTCTATTGCTGTCGCTTTACAATTAGGAATTAAAATAACACGATACGATTGTATAGTTTCATTAGGTGTCATTCCTATACTTATAAAATATATTTTTATACATTATATAGTTATATTGTATCAGTATAAAAACTCTATAGTTTCATCGTAAATTATTTGTAACAGTGGTCATGTTGTTTACAATTTTGTAAGAATGAATGACACCATTGTCATCACTATCAGCAATGACCTCGTTAACTTCTGTGACAAATCAACAGACAATGAAAGTTTAGTCATATAATATCCTTGATATTAAAAAATAAAAGTAATAATTAATTATTTGATAATGATTTTAATTTTTATCAAATTCCATTAATTGTCAGACCGAGTTATTATTTTACTTAAAAATCACCATTTCTTTTTTGTTGTGGGTGAAAAAATTAATTGGTCGTTATATACATTATGGAGACCACTTAATAATTTTATATCGCCAATATTTCAATAAATATCCTATTACCATTATGAATGCGAAATTTTGTGATTTTTTTTAATGGATGGATGTTTGTTGCTCTTTTATGCAAAAACTACAGAACGTTTTTAAATATAATTTGGTATCTTAACTTAGAATACGGAATATTATAAATACTTATTTACTATGATGAAAAATCGCATGATTATATGATATGATTTACTATGTGTAAAATTGCAGGATTAATTTATTTATTATATTAATATATGACTGTGTATGTATAATGTTTTGTATATTATTTTATATTTATTTATTGATTTGCACTCACCTCTTCAAGAAATCAGTGTATTCCGCTTGTCTTATGAGTCCAGTTCTCATCATAATAGTCTGGAAGCATTGACGTTCAATGGCCCACAACCGACAATCAGTTGCTGCTTTTATTGTGGCCGTTCTCTTGCAGTTGTAAAGAATGGCTAGTTCACCAAACACCTTGCCCGGTGCCATTGTGCTGAGGTATTTGTTCTCTCTAGACACTTCCACTCTTCCCTCTGTGAAAGAAAATAAATATAAATATTAGAAATTTTATCATATGTGTTTATAATTTTTCATTGGGTTTTAAATTAGCTTCTTCACAATTTCCATCCAAGTCTTTTAAGCGCAGAACTTTACAAAACCGTCTCAAACTTATGTTATTTTCGGTAAAGATAAGTGAATTTTATCAATTGCATAAAAAGTTATCAAAATCAGTTCAAAATACGCTAAGATACCACACAATGCACACATTAAAAAATGGGTGAGCGTATTGGAAGACTGTAAGGCTCACCCAGTGGATGTAATAAATAAGTGAATTGAGAATCTACTCCTTTTGTAAATAAAAATATTGGATGTTTATATGTTACAAAATATTTTATATTTTATATCATAACTTATAAATACACTGCAGGGCCATTCATATACATACTGTATAAATTAGAGTATATATAGGTATTTTATAAGACATGTAAATTAAGACCAAGCCGGAAAATAAATGCACAATATTTAATAGCACTTGAAGCGTCATTCAAGGTTTCAAATATTAAAACGGTCATTGGGTCGGATATTGATGCGGCAGACTCAATAATATTAATATTATAACCGAATACTATTTATATCAATAAATAATAATTATTAGAAAAATACTTGTACTCTTGTAATTATTGTTATATTTGATTGAATGAGAGCCTCTCCTATATAGAATGAGCAACTATTGCCATGTTGGTCAAACGGTATAATACTAGAATGTATTTTATTACTTTTCCTTCTCCTGCACTAGGCATATTATACTAGAAAAATGGTAAAGGAATACATTGATGGAACGTTATCGTTTTGCATCATGAGACAAAGACAAAGCTCTTCTGAACTACTTCAAATGATTTTAGTTACACAATCAATTTTATATGTTTTGCCATTTTTATTTATTACTAATTTATATATTCAATAAATTAAACTTAGAATGTACTAACATTCTAAATAAATTTTAATTTGCCTTTTTTAATATGAATTTCAAAGTATTTAATAAAGAAATACCTGTAATCGAAACCGTAATTTAACCATAATTTGTATACGATGATGAACTTAAAAAACGAAAGTATTACATCTCATCATGTGAGGCTGAAGGTGAAAGTTCATATCGTGTTTAATTTTATAGACATATGTTATTAAGAGGTTTTATATAACCTTTATATAGTTACCTGGGTTTAATATTTGCAGCAACAAAACATAAATTTGTTAGTATAAGTTCAGTAACAGTATTTTGCAGTCACAAGGTACTGAATTACTATTATTTTTTAATGATACGAAAGGAAGTTTTCAATTTGTCTGGATCAGTTAATATTTGTATGTCATTCCATGTATTCAAAAATTCTGACCCAATTTTAATATACAATCGATAGAGTTTTGTAGTTTCCGTCCTGCGTTATTTTTATTTACTCTCTACTATTAGTGGTCGGTTCTTCGCAACGCATCTCATTGAGGTCTTACGTAAAAAAAAAATTGTTAGCTCCACAGAAGTCCTTATATTGCCTATCTACCAGAGATAAATTTCAAAAATTTTGGATCCGAATAAAATTAACGAAATTGTTATAAAAATTAACGAAAGAAGAAATACAAAACATTTCTATCTACAATTATTATCATTACGACATTTTGTGGATGACGAATAAATCAATACAAAACACTCCTTTTACGGACATAAATTTGATACGAACTAATTTCATCATACACACGAGATTTGAATTCGAAACTTTGATATTAGATTTACTGGTAAATACGTGGACAACAATTAATAATAAAATGAAATAAAGCTTAAGTTTTAGTCAAAACATGAATAAATATAGTCATGTTTACCCTAAGAAAATATTTCTAAAATACAATACTTCCTCATTAAGTCGTTGTTTCACATGTCATGCGTATTCAATGACGTAGAAATATACGTCAAAGCACAAAAATTTTGTAAGACAGTATTTATTTGATTTTTAAAATCATTATGTAATCGCATATGAATGTAATATTGATATTAATATATGCTTCATATATATTTCTTACCACTCTTTTATTTAAATACGATGATAAAAAAAATGATGGTTTCTGTTAAGAATCAGATACTCTGTAAAATTTCATACTTCTCGCATTAGTGAATGTTATTTTATAAATTAGTTAATCTTTGGATAAAAAAAAATTAGCGATTAATTTCAGTAATCATCATAATAGTTATATATATTTAACTAAGTATTATTATATATTCAACTGAAACTTTCAACCGGTAGAGTTTTTCTATCTTGTTATGTTCCTTACAAGTGGATCTAAAATGGGAATCAAAGTTTGGATGTTAGTTTAAATGAGCTAAAAACGATATGATGATATGATACGATGATTATATGATGATATGATACGATGATTATATGATAAAAGCAGTTCTAAATCTAATATTACATACAATACTAAACCTACAGCGAGTAGAAGAAGAAGAGTTTGCGAAAATCGAAAAATATAAATGCAAAAGTTTATGAGGATTTTTGTATGGATGATGTTTGTTACTCTTTTACATAAAACTATTGATTTAAATAAAATTTGGTATAGGACTATGTATCCTTACTTAGAATATAGGACACTTGATATATTATTTCATTTCCACAATTTTTTAATTTATGATGAAAATTTAAAATACAATATCCTTATCTACGTAGTTTGCGAAGCGAAAATCTTACATAAATTATAGTTGATAAAATTAACAGGAAATATAGAAGGATTTTTCAAACTACCACGATATATATAGATTAGTTTCACGAAAAAAAACTTCACAAACAAACTTACTTTTGTAATCCAGTTTTTATTTTTTTAACATAGCTATGGTCTAAATTAAGGGACTTTTAATTTCTATCATAATAATTATTTTAAGTGTCTATTTTATAACAAATACATAGAAAAACATTTGTTTAATCATAAATTTTACCACACCTACATATTTTTACTCTAATAAATTATTTCAGCACATAACTTACACTTGACCAACTTGAGTATTATTTACAATTTAAAATGGAACAATTTGATTTATTTAAAGTGTTGACCTCGTTATCGATGTACTTTAACAATAAAATTATTAAAGCAAACAAGTAGACAATTGATTGATATCTAGTGACATCAATCAGTCGATAAAGACCAATTAATAAAATCAATCATTGCAAAGAATTTTTCTCATTGACAAAGTTAAAAAGCAGTTCATACTGCCTTTAGGAAGAAAACAGTTAACAATTAAATAACTGTTGTTGTTGATGTTAGAAATCTATATATCTAGAAAATATTTCTTAAGAAATTACAACATAAATTTACTAAAAATAATATTAATATCGTTATCAATAAAAATGAACAAAAAACAAACAAATATTACAAAAAGACATGAAATGCAACGGTTATACTTATTAAATTGTTAATTTATCAGTATTAGTTATTATATTTATATTATAATGTCATCATGTACATTTGGATATATAAATCCAAGACCTCCTTACATATGCATATATTATGTTGCAGACCCAGAGGATGGTTTATAGCTAGATGGATAGATGTAATTAGAAAAATCCTTAGTTCCAGCAATAATTCTGAGACTCTCATCAAGTGAATCTCACATAAAATGACTTTATAATATTTATGGCTGAGAAATATTTTAAAAAATACGTTGAATACACAAATAGGATTTATTACTACCACTTATTTCTCTAATTATTTATTTTTGTATAAATGTTATATCTGACATACATTGTAGTAGACATAAACAACAAAACTCTAAATGTTTGTATTTAAGCACATCTCTTTCGCCTCCTCTATATTCTTCAATCTATTTAAAGCTTGCCAGTTAGGAGTAATTTTATCTTGGCTCTTTTTCAACACGTCGTCTATTTGGTTAACGCCCATCTAGGGCTACCTTTACCAACGTCTTCACTTATTCGTAACTGATATAATTTCTTTCATAATTCTTTTTTCACTTATTATTTGTCCACATATTCGAACGAATACAATATCCTCCTTCTAAATTTTTATCATTAATACAAAATTCAGGTAACAATTTTCTTCATAAACTTTATACTAACTATACCCGACGAGAATCCTATGGTATAAAGTTTCCGTAATAAACGAATGAATGAAAACATTTTATTGTTCCCTTCAAAGAATAATATAGATTATAAAGATTAATAATATGCACATAAACAAAATTAATAAGTAATTACATAAACTTAATTACAAGAACATAAAATCGAGATAAAGAGGCAATAATCTAAGTTTATAATGTAAGTGTTAATAAGCGCATATTATCGATAGAATCCAATGTGGTAGGACGTAACACAGTTCCGATAAATTTCTGGTAATCTACACTTTAATATCTATGTTTATGATAATTTTCCCATCGGTACTGTTAGAGATAAGGTGATGAAAGTATATGAGTAATATGATCCGGTTTAGCTTATATTATATACAAATTATTTTATATACGTAACAGTCAACGATTTATTGTATTGTTTTATTATATAAAAATATTTCATATTAGCTTTTACCCGCGGCTTCGTTCGCGTTAATACTAATTTTTCTCAACAAGTTTAGTTGTTGGTATAGGTAGAGATGGACCCACTTCCTTTATGGATATATATATATATCCTATCACCTATAAGTTTTTCAGAAGTAAAAACCTATAACCATCTCGATGATAACATCTACCTCTATACCAAAATTCATCATAATCGATTCGGTGGTTTAGGCGTGAAAGCGCAACAAACAAATAAACTCACTTTCGCATTTTTAATATTAGTTAAGATACGAAACAGCCAACCACTTATTGTACTTATTGTTTAGTTTAAATTATATTTAGACGTTCTAATTCGAATTGAAAGTGAACTTAGTTTCCAGCTTATTTTTCAATATTATAACAAATATAGTAACAATACTTGTTATAATGAGACAGTACAATGTAAAACCTGTTGTAATACAAATAACACATTATTTAAATAATATTTCTTAGACTTAATATGCCTCAATCAAATAGGCTCTATATATATATATATATATATATATATATATATATATATATATATATATATATATATATATATATATATATATATATATATATATATATATATATATATATATATATAAGCTAGCACAAAAAGATTGCCGTGTATAGCGTGGCAAAAAGTTTTTCTTACAAAAGTTTAATGACCGTATATTTTGATAATTTTATCCAAATATAAATTGCAAATTATATTTTCAAGTTATAGAAAACTGTCTACATTTTGTCAGCTAAATTGTTGGACAATTAGCTATGTTAATTACAGTCCGTTAATACTCATATTCATGCATGATTTAATGTGAAACTAGGGCGAAACCTAACTAACTTTAATTGATATGCCGGTCTCGATGTGTTTAGCAACTGCTAAGTGACTCAATACGATGCCTTGGCATCTGTTCTTGTATCTTATATGGACTTTGTGTTTTGAAACATATAACTATATAATAACTAGACAATAATTGCTGGTGCATAATTACTTAAAAATAAACTTAACAACGAAATATCCTACTTACTCTAGCTGATATTTTTATATATTTAAATAGATACTGTAAATTGTAAATAAGTGTAATTTCGTCATTTGGCATTTAACAACAAATACAACCACAAACCAAATTAGTATATTTGCAATTGTTGCCCCAGATACTAGGAAGTACTCGTACTTACGTGACACAATATCATCTACATTATCAACTGATAAAAATCTTGGTTCTCATAAAACACGCACATCAATCAACTACACTGTATATACGAAATCAAAATTAAATAATGATAACAAAGTACCTTTTTATGTACTAAAAAATATCTAAAATGATTACCTGATTCTTCGTTTTTTAATCGTTTTTCCAGTTCTTTATCACTTGTTTCTTCTAATCGTGTAACATCTAGTAAGACTCCAGCATCTAAGGAAGCCTCTGTAGCATTACTATCACGTTGGCACAGATTTCCTGTTCTTCTCTTCCTGGTTCCGTAGGTGTGAACAGGCACTATTAATTTAGGACGCGGTATAGAAAAGTCTGAATCTGAACCACTAGATGAACTCTTGGCACTCCTCGAATATACACCACTACTATTTGTTGCACGCTCTTCATTAATACGTTCTTTTGTAACACCAAAGGATAATAGATCATTAAATCTATCATACCTATCATCACTTTTCACTCTCACTGTACCATACATTTTTCCATATTTTTCACGTTTAACTTGTGACGAATTACTATTGAAAGTCCGATTTTCACTTTCTTTCCCAAGATCAATATTATGAAACCCATTATTCGTTGGGTTCATAGATGGTTGCTTAGACTGTAGTTTATACATTTCATACTGCATCATTGTCAGCTGTTCGCTTGGAGACAGATTACGTTTTGGTTGAGTGACAGTAACGTCATTGTGGGATTTATTATCAGGCTGAACAACGTCGAGATAAGCTCGGAGTGGAGCTCTTCCTTCGCTCTTAACTCTCATAGATTTAGAGCGAAAACTTGGTTTAATGTTTTCAATACGTTCATTTCGTTCGTTCGTAGTTTGTATAGTGTGATTAGGAAGTTGTTCGCATGTAGATAATGACTCATTAATGGGCCGCATGTACAGTCCTAAATCTTCCGCTTCACAACCCACTTCGAGATCTTGTTTCCCTAAATTAGATTTCATTGGACTCAAATCTAATGTTGCCATTGAATTAATTAATTGATACATTTTATCATTGCTAAAAGCACTTACACTTCCGCTATGTATATCGTTATTAGTATGATTTTTATCCTTTTTTGGATCTTTTTGTAATTGTTTTAATTTATCACTATCAGTATCATTATTTTGTTGACTAACTCTTGAATAATATTCATAATAGGATTCTGAAGACGGGTCTGGTGGTACGGGTCCAGGATCCGGTAATGGGTAATTATTTTTTTTCGAATCTACTTTTCTCTGTCGATGTGCATATTTAAGAGAATCTTTACGCTGTGGTGGAATAGGAGGCTGTTTTTCGTGCGCTCCAAATGCTTCTATATCCCATTCGGTAAAATTTCTTCTTTTAACACGTCTCAACGTTGAAGGCTTATACCCATTTGGCATATCCTTAAAACTGAAACTATGTTTCAATTTATTTTGCACAATGAGATTATTATTAGCTCTGGCTTTCTCTTCTATATTTTGTTGATATTTTGCTAACTGAGATATGTTTTCATTGGATACATTATAAGAATAGTTATAGCCATTATCTTCAGCGGAATATGTTTTAGTATCATAATTTCTGTCATTAATATGGCCCACATCTCTACAAGATTTACTTCTAGAAATCGTATTATATTTTACTTTATTTGAGCTATTGTCATTTTCGTTATATGTACCGAGATTACGAGCTCCAACCCAATTTGCAGCATAAACAAGGTCCATAGTCCTATCAGTGATAGAAAGCCAAGGGTCCTCCATGACCACTTTCCCTGGGTAGTGTTTAATTTTCATTTTGCTCTGATAATAACTGAGGACTTTTTTCTAGAAGCCTGAAGCAATTTTTCACAAATTTTATGTATACCTGATAATTTTAATTCCATCTTTATTTCTGGATTATTTATTCACCAACACTGCACGGTAACATTTACGTCCGTAACTATAAAATGTTAATACACCTATTATTTCCACATTTTAATTACTACAAATGTCATATCATTTGACGGGGCCAAATCCGAATTGTCGTGGAATTTTTACCACTCACGGAACGATCTTGGCGCAAATTTTTTTCATTTTGAAGTTCGTTTCTTAAATTTCGTGGACCACGGTTTTGCCCAAATGCATTTATTATTATTCACTACGTAAACCTGTAAATTTATTACATATATCACATAATTATAAACAGATATGTATAGCAATGGAATGATTTTGTAGTAGTAATGCAGCTTATAACAGAATATTGAATATAGTAAGTCCCTTCTTAAGTCTTTTTTTACGAAATTGTGTGCAACAGGTTGTCTTTATTTATAAATCTTTGTAAGTATACAAAATAGCCTGTGATTTATTATGATTTCACAATAGGAGCGGATGCGTCACGGGATACAAGCACGCATTGCCCAAGAGTCTTTGGAGCATCACCGTAAGCCACAAGGAAGTGGCAAGTAGGTCTTGATAGTCCATCAAACGAATGCAAATGGAACCTTGTTACGTAATAATTAGATAATGGAGCTGAGCGAGTGTAAGCAGTTAGCATCTGCCACAAAAGTCATCTTGTAACATTTATTGTTGTTATCATCATATTTGCATTTTTACTGGTATTCTTTACGAATATGAAATTTATAATATTGAATATTGTAGGCATAAATGATAAATATTATGTATATGTCAAAAATATTTCTAATCGAATCGTTATATTTTATGAGTTTTTAACGCGCAAATTAATTTGATCAATCATTAAACGCATGATCAAGTTAGTAGGAAACGATTTCTAGGCACCAAGCGATGAACGGGTAAAAACCAGTTCATTGGTCCACATATGCAGTCAACTGGTCAGCGATGATACGTGAGAATAGTATCCAGGAACTTAAGAAATCACAGTCACCCAAATAAGCAATCAGTAAACAAACTTAAATTAATCAAAATAAAACTGTCCACTGTTTTTTAAGTAATGAACAATTATAAGAATATTTGAAATAAAAGACATTGCTTATATGTATTAAAAATACAAATTGTCTCGACGTGTATAACTAGATATGCGACATATAGTAATTTTATAAGATTTAATAACTGTAATTAAAACAACAATATAAAAGATTTTATTTATAAAATTACATATAATAAGCTTCATTTTATTAAAAAAAAAACGATAAGGCCTCTTCATTATTTCTAATAATGTTATGTATTTGCAAAACCTATCTAAAGATAAATAAAAAAATCCATATTTCTCCAAAAATAATATCGAATATATTTAAACCTACAACGGTATGGTAAACAAAATTATATGTACTAATTCTTTATTCTATTCAATTTGTTAGAATTACATTTCACCATAAAAATAACGTATACTGAATTTGAATCGTATAAATTACATTGAATACTTTTGTAACATGATCGTAACGTACCTATGCTAGATGCAATATTGAAACGCTAACTTTCTATGCTCTGATGACCTTAATAATGAGTTAAGTATTATAGTAATATCTCGATAAGATCATTGTTATCTATATGGTTTATTGTTGTTCATACGTACAATGTCAGAATTAAATCTGGCAATGGGTATCAATTCAACTTTCCCATCTACCTTATGATGACAACTGTCAACAAATCAGTTTATCATTAAAGTTACATACAAAGTATCAATTTTAAAATGAAGTATTGAACAAATTATTATTTAAACGAATTTCAATTAATAGACCAGTAGTTATTTAATCCTATAATTGAAACTAGAATAGCTTATAGGACAAAACTCCTAAATGCATTATGAAATTATAAAATATTATAAATAACCTAAATACTAACTTAGTCTAACTAATCGTGTTTAGAAGTTCTTTGTTGTATGTTAAGCATGAAGGCAGACATAGAAAGCTCGGGTCTCGAACATTAATATGCTAAAATATCTTTACCGTGAAGACAACGTTCCGAAATACTTTCACGACATGTACGAGTAGTGCACGCAAACATAAACCGCTTGCAGTAACCTTGGTGCATGAGAGCCCTCGTAATTCAACTTTCAGTTAACTTTGCAAATGATTAATCCTAAGTATAACTGTTTTTAATATATTGCTATGGAATAAAAACTGATTAACAAATGTTATTGCTTTTATATATCTATCAAACAAAACGAAATATTTTTATAATCATTCCATGGTTATACAAGTAACAAACATAAAGAGAAATAATGTTGTGAACAAAGGTGATATAATTTAATATCTTTTATTTGTTATAGGCACTAGGTATCCTAAAAATATATTTAATGCAATGAAAGCTGCATCTTTCACAGAAAAAAACACTTCGATACATTAACATTTCTACACATTTTTACCACTGTCAAACTAATTGTTCAACAGAAACTATTTATGTATAATACAAACACTTCCAATACTGTAGGTCATTGTTTCTTTGACGTTGAACACGATCGCGCCTATTATAAATTCGGAACGCGATACATAGAGAACGCAGCGACCAATCACGCCAGCGTCACTCCGCCTACTGCTCTACTCAGATCCGATCGACTCCTGCGCACGCATCGCTGGCGTGTGCGAACGAGACACATTCGTCATGGATAGAGACAAAACATGTACCTGAATTTAAAAAGCTTCTATAGATGACAAAAGGTGAGCAAGACGCTGAACCCCCTTTATAGCTAAGTACTAGAATTTATTTCAATAAAGCAAAAGTTCGAAAATAACTATTTTAAAATACTATAAAAACTTAATTTAAGCGTTCCCTCTTATCAGGCAATTAAATCGTGAATTTTCTCCAACCGTCACTATTTTTTACCATATTTATTATTCTTGTCTTCCCTTTAAGACATGACGACGATGATGCTTTGACCCTTGTTTTTTACCTTTTATTTTTCCTTTAAGATGTCCTTTATAAAGTCATCGTGTCGTAAATGGGAGTCCAGTGTTTTGTCCTCTTCTATTCTATTCTATATTATTTTAATTAATGTTCTTCTCTAAATTATCCTTTTCAAGATTTCCTCGTTTGTTACTTTTTTGTCCAGTTTTTCTTTTTTATTCTTCTCTCTGTTCATATTTTCAATGCCTCGAACTTTCTTATATTATATATATTATTTTATTATTATAGGCTTGTTTTGTGATTGCTTTTCTAGATTTAATATTCAACATGTACCTACCGTTATTTATGGTTGTACTCTCTCCAAGTATCATAATTAATTAGGAAAACTTAAGACATCACAAACAAAATATTTGTTTTTATGTTAATATTTTTACACAGAAAACCAATAAAGATAACATATTTTTTTAATCTCCGTTTAGTTAGATACTTTTGTTTTCTGACATGTCAATCCCATTATATCTAAGATAACGACATTTGTAACGGTAAATGTAAATTAACATATTTATCTTTCTGATTGTTTTACCCTGTTTATCTTAGACTTGAATATAAATTATTATGAACTTCTTTTTTAATTGTAAAAAGTATGTATCAAATTTGACCAAATGAATTCAAATGGATGTTAAAAGTAGAGCGACATTTTGTTGTTTAAATGTAATAAGTATTTGGTGAAGGTGAACAAAAAAGTGAATTGGTGCAAGGCATCATCCATGACCGGATTAGTTAGTGAAATATTTGTAAAGTGAAGGTCAAAACCTCCAAGTCTGGAACAGTTACTTATATAAATATCACAGTGGTAATATTATTATTAGTAGTAATATAAAGATCAATAATTATTTCTGGTTTATCATCACTCCTCACCAATTTAATTTCGAAAAATATTTTTAAATACCAGGCAATTTTATTTTCTAAATTTTTTAATTCATAAATATCTAACAATCTTTACTTCAATTAAAAACGATATATATTATGCAAATTAACTAACTTTCATTAGGTAATAAAAGAACATAAAATTTGAATGTAAAATCATCCAACCTATAAAAGTACATAATAAAAACGCAAATTCCGATCCAAAATCCGATTACTTGTAAATGTTTAGAGTACCAATGATTACTCTATACGTAATATACGATCTTTTTATTTATTCAGATGTTTCATTTAAAACTTTTCGGTAATTGATAATAGTAAGGTTATATGATATTATATTTGCAACATCTATACATTCAATCTATTCATTTAAGTAGATATGCATATTATTATATTTGTATGATATAAGATCAGTAAGAACTTAGATTTTAAATCGATTCATATCTCGAAATAAATATTGAATAAGGGTTTAAACTGTTTTAACTGTTCAAAGGAGTTCTTAATTCTGCTGTTAGATATTAGTTACCTAGTTCTTCATAACACAAGGCAGTCTAGCTTGAAGAACAGGTGATTTAGGATGTAGCTTGAAGATCAGGTTATTTTATCATTTAATTTGTTTTTATTTATAATTTATATTTTTTATTTTAGTAAAGTGTAGTGTGGTCTTTGAAAAATAATTGATATTACTGATCGAGATATGTGTTTATATAATATATACATATATATATATATATATATGTATATATATATATATATATATATATATATAATACTACAAATAAAGTAATCAAAATGGTACACTATATACCTACTAAAAATTGTTTTAAGTTATTGAGTACCGTACTTATTGTATATTATAATTGTAGAAGTTTTTAATTTCTATAGACAACAAGAACTGTATTTCTTTTTAAATATGTATATTAGCAGACATAATTTTATTTTAATAAGTACCACTGCATAGATACTAGTAATTTTAGATAAAGTTCGCGAACCGAAAGTTCAAGTAAAAGTAGAAATGCTAATCGGATGCTATCTTGAGTTTTCATTTGTGACGCAATCACAGCGGTCAAGGCTGCAAAGATCACGGTTTCACTTTCTCATTGTACAATGGACATTTGTAAAACATGTGGTATTTCAATCAGAAATCATTTTATAACTTATTGTATTTACATCAAAGAACCATTACCACTTTTTCATGACCTCTAGGCTAAGCCAGATTGTTATGTGAACAGTTTTGTATTAAATTTACTTGATTATTTTCTCACG